TGTTTAGGTCGCATTCTAACTGCTAAACGTTGGCTTGTCTGCTCGCTAGGGGAGGCTGAAGCACGAGTTTGTTATGCGCGGAAGAAAGGACTAAACAATGTTCTTTGGTAAAAGGTATGGGAACCTAAAGGTGTGAAAGAAAGAAAAGTGGAAAAGTGCTCGCTAGGATCATCGCAATCCTATGCCTACGTATTCTCATTGATAAATGAGAAATCAGAGCAGCCGTAGTTCGGCTAACTACAGTAAAAAGTTTATGTTTGGAATGAACGAGAGTTTAGGTCACATTCTAACTGCTAAACGTTGGCTTGTCTGCTCGCTAGGGGAGGTTGAAGCACTAGTTTGTTATGCGCGGAAGAAGGGACTAAACAATGTTCTTGACAAAAGGTATTTTGGTTGGAAATCGCACGAGGGCGAGGAATTTGTGTTTATCGCATTGGATGTTTTTGTTTAGGGAAGAGAATAGGTTTGAATAGGTTTAAGGTTTCAATTGCACGGGGGCAAGAAAGAGGAGTTTGGTTAGGTAATTTTGATGGAGAATAACGACTATTTGATAAACAAGATGTCGGTCTCGCAATCAATTAATCGGGATATCATTGGAATGCTAGATCCCGATGATACCTTTTTCATTTAATTAATTATGAAAATGTATTTGAATGGACAATAATGACATTGGTCCACGTAGTTAGGGCATGTATTTTATATACGAAAGGTTGGGCGAACCACAACCTAAAGCGTACTCCCTAAGAATGGTTACTCAAGAATTCAAGGAGTGCGAGACTCCAAGAACTCAGTTCTTTTGCAATTTAATTAAGAAAATAGTTTGAATTTGACGTATGGTTTAGAGACATACTAGGGTTTAGACTCGATCGCACGAAGGTGAGGGACGAGGTTAGACGAGTTAAATGTTTAGGAGGAATGACGATTACTCGATAAACGAGACGTCGGCCTCGTAATCAAATCAATCGGGAAACCATTGGAATGCTTGATCCCAACGATACCTTTTTCATTCGAAATATGTTTGACGGATAGTTTAGACGCGAAAGAGTTTGAATTGAAAGAGATTTTGATTCAATCACACGAGGGTGAGAAACGAGGTTTGACGGGTCGTATATTTAGGAGGAATGACGACTACTCGATAAATGAGACGTCGACCTCGTAATCAATTAGTCGGGATATCATTGGAATGCTAGATCCCAACGACAATCTTTTTCATCCCATTAATTATAAAATAGTGTTTGTTGGACAGTGAGGGTACTTGTCCAAATAATTAAAGGAGGCGTTTTAAGAACGAAAGTTTGAATGGCACACCATACAAGGCGTACGCCTCAATAGTGATCATACTCGAATTCAAGGAATGCACGACTCCAAGAACTCGATTCTTTCGTGATTTAATTTAGAAAAATAATTTGAATGGATTAGCGTACTCGGACTAGGCGTGCTAGGTATTCTTGAAAATAAGATCAAAAGGATTACAAAACTCGAGGTGTGCACCTCGAGAGCGATCACTTAAAAAATTCAAGGAAGGCGAGATCCAAGAATTTAATTGTTTTTAAAATTTGTTTGAAGAAAAAAAAAGTTTAATTTGATTAAGAAAAATAGTTTTACTTTTCATACAAAATAAATTGATCAATTGTAAAGAGTTTTTTTGAGAAAAATCAATCATAACTAATTGTTTTTTTGAAGAAAAAGTTTAGTATCCCAGAAAAAAATATTTTAACTTTATTAATAAAGTATATATATATTTTTTTATACTTGAAATGTTATTATAATTAATTGTTTTTGAAAAGGTTAATACCTTTAAGAAGAAATAGATTTTAAATAAAATATATTTTGAAAAGTTTATTATTTAAAAGTATTAATTTGGTAATGATTTTTAAAATATATTTTGAAAATGACATTTGAGCACAACAAAAGCTAGATACAATTTACTAACCAAGAACTAATATTGTTAATTCAAAACAACACCTTGAATATTAACGACGTCACGTCGGATATTCGACACAAATTTTAGAATAAAAACAACCATAAAATGTTATATAAACAATGATAAATACATCAAATCTCCAGTAGCAACCAAGCCTAATTGAGTGCTTATAATTGAACCAAAGAACCAGGATTCAAAGATTTACCGACGAGATTTTTGCGACATTGTTATTGCTGGATTTGTTGTTGAACTGTTGCTGTACATGTATCAACATTGAGCATATGCATAACCCGTTCTTGCTCGTCGCAGATGAATGATCCGAAGTTTGTTGCTGTGCGGCTGCTGCATCGAAGACGGGGTCATGTCGTTGTTGTCGATGACGGTGCTGAGTAGTTGCAACGGGTTGCTGCAAAATTGTTGTTGTGCTAAAAAGGTGATGCTCGCAGCAGGGTTGGCCATGTGGAATCACATCGTCGGCGGGGTTTGTTTCAACCGGAGCAGAACCCGTATTATGGAAGCGGAAATCGAAACAACCACCACGCAGGATAGCCGTAGCAGTAACAAATTCAGCAGTTACATGAATGTTACAAAACTCAAATATGAAAAGAATCAGCATGAGCATGAAGCGGTCGAACTGAACCTGATTACATTCAAATAATGCATGGAAAAAGAAAACAACAGAAACAGATATATGATCTTGATTTTTTTAAAACTATGGCCACTGGTTTTAATGATATAATATTTATCAATCACATGTTAACTTTCAACACAATTTTCCAATCGAAATTAATACAACCATGAACCTTTGACTCTCAACTTCAACAATCAATAACAGCAGGAATCATTTGAATCACAATATGATTGTCATTATAACCAACCAACAATAATCGACATAACTTTCATTATCAGATCAACAAACATTGTAGTAACCAAATACACCCTCGAAGTTGGTTCGAACAATCAAACATATAGAATAAATTGATAGCAACAATACATAGATGAACGAGCAACCAACAATCGGAGTTATCGATACGAATTTACCAATTTCCTTAAGCTTAAAAGCATAATGCTAACGCAGCATAACCAAAATCGAAACACTGAGGTAACAAACATATGCAGAATGCAATCACACCCTCAAGCTACAAATCGTAAAAGTAGCAGTTCACCAAACAATAACCATTTATAAGTTTAGTAAAAATGTAATGGCAACAAACTGTGAGTGGGTACACAATTGAAACTCTCACCTCTTTAATATAAACAAATTGAAAAAACTATGATAGAACGAGATCAAGACGTTTAAGCACATGTTCATAATGAAGTCACAGCATAATAATCAAACACAAACCAATACAATCAAACCTTGTAAACAAACAATTCGTAATTTCGCAAAACGTCATGTAAGAGCAATAAATTCGTAAGAGCCACCAGTGTGCAGCAAATGCCATTTTTATCTTTACCAAAACACAAACAGCAGTAGAACATTTGAAAAACTGCTAGGTCTATCATATCTAAGCCCCAGCACATACAAAAAATGCAGTCGGATTGAAATGGATGTAAACAAGATAATAACTGAAATGATGCACATATCCTACATACGTAGCTCAGACCGAAATAGATATCAATTTTGCAGAGTACAAACATAATAAGAATATGTAAAGCATAGTTTGTTTGAATTGTTACCATTTGAACTGCCAAGTTTTGCTGCGAACCTGAGCTCTACTCCTCTTAAACATCGACTTCACTGAAAGCGAAACAGAGGATGCCACGGTCCATGAATCATTTGAGCTGTCACAACTGAAAGAAGCGTCAATGACACCACCCGGGCTACTTGGTTCAGATACACGCTTCCGTTTCTGGTGAGGACTATAAATGCCATCGCCGCTAACTAATAGTTTTAGCATAAGCTTGTAGCATTGGTTCACTTGTTCCTCACTAATCTTTAGTAAACCCAATAGCTGATCAATGTACTCAGATGCATTAAATGGTTCAATCTCTTTAATTACATGGATCATTGTAGCAGCAGCCAATGTAGAAGGAAGATAACTCATCATAACCTTTGAATCAGCAATAACATGAAGAAGAACCCTCTCACAACGCCACATAAACTCCTAGTGCAAACGGCTCTTCAAACCAAGCCTTCTAACAATGTGTTCAAAGAAGGAAATCGGTGTCACCGGATGCATCCTCCATTGTTCCAAATCAAACAAATTCATCCCAAACGCCCATGTGCAAGAATTGGCATCAAAACTCTCTCCGATTTGTGGATCTGAGAAGTTTACGAACGCATCAATCCTATGAAATGGGGTTTTTCCTTCCTGACAAGTTACAACGGCTCCATTAACATTTCCCTTCATATCGGCATTCCATAGTCCACTGAGATCTTGTTGAACCACCACATCATGATCAAAGATCACAATCTTATTTAGGGTAGGGAAGATGTAGCTAGATGTACATGATATGTTGCTTGGCTTCTCTGAAAACGAACTTGCTCTTCAGTTTTGCGCTTCATTGCTTGAAGCTTAGAAACCATAGAGCAGTCTGAGGAAGCACGACTGACAATAGATAGTGAGGCTTCCATGCGTCTCATTGCCTGCAAAACACTCCTTGACAAATCTAAATCCCGGTGACTCCTTCTGCTCCTCGTTGTTTATGGAGTGGGCAAGACCAGGATAAGCCTTAAACACACAACTGATGCCAAGAATATCTTGACCAATCCACGCATATGGCGCATGGCGTTTAACTTCCCAAACAACCGCAAACACTATGCAGGAGGGAGTAATAGCAAGTGTCAGATATGGAACAGCTCCAAAGAACGGTATCTTCACATATGTTTGTGCAGGATGTTGAAACCATCTGAAACATGACAATAGAGCCACCAAACAAGTTTGCAGACCCTCTATCCCACCAATGCAAAATAAAACCACTAGAACTTCAACAAAACAGAATGACATTAATTTGTACAGCATAACCAAGAAACAAGAAGCAACCACGGCGAATAAAATCGCTGCTGTAGTACTGATTTCCACGTAACCACGAGAACCAACACTTTCTGCAACATATTCTTCTGAGGCATCCTTTAAAAGCTTGTCTTGCTCAATAACAGCTTCTCATCCTTTAGAAGCTTGTCTTGCTCAATAACAGCTTCTCTTGCCGTCCAAGCAGACCAATAAGAAGCACATAAAATGGTACCGACAGCCATGAGCCATAGAAACACTTCCGCAACATCAACCAACGGACGCAGTGGAGAGTATAACTGTATGGAAACTATGGATTTATTCTGTATGTGTTTTTCCAAGTTTATTCCAGCATCTTGTGGAAGCATAACAGTAGGAATTCCAATATCAACATTAGTTTCATTTACCTCACAAACCATCTTGAAAAGTTCTGTACGATTGTTTATAATGAGAATGGCCGAAGCACCGGCTTCATCAGCTATATTTGCCTTGGTTGTGAAGCTACATTTTCCTCGGTGCACCAATATGATCTCACTGGTGAGCTTATTCTTAGGCTTGCTACAACAATCGGGAGGATCAGCCATGACAACTCTGGTATGAGTGGCATGTTCTTCTTTTGATTCCAATGTAGGACCAAATCTTGCACCGACACCAACATACTCATCGTTTTCCACACCATCGATCCAAGTTGGAACTTTGACCAGAACAAAGTTGTTCTCACAGCCAGGCCTTGTTGGAGCAACATCATCATGATGAACTATATCACCAGCCAAAACCAAAGTCAGACCAAACAAGAACACATAAGCAACACTATATACACCTCCCAATGAAACCATGCTAGTAACTGAGATAACTGAGATTCTTGAATGGAAAATTGAGGAAATAATCAAAGGGTATCTCAGAAAGCAAAAAAAGAGTATTTTTTAATTTGTTTGGAGCGAGTGGGAAGAAGGGAGTGGCGGTGGAGAGAGGAAAAAGAAGGGTTTTCGATTGAGGGATGGTGAAGGAGAAAGAGGAGAAGGTTCAGTTGAAGATGGTGATGGAGAAAGAGGAGAAGGTTCGGTTGAAGATGGTGATGGAGCGTTGAGGAAGAAGAAAACGGAGGGTGGTGGTCGGCGCCGATTTGGGAGAGGGGGAAGAGATGAACAATGTTCGATTTAGGGTTTTTGTGGGGTTGAATTGGGGACAGTTAGGGTTGCCCTTCAGAATTAGGGGCGACCCTTATCCTTTAGGGTTTTGTGAACAGTGTCCCTTGATTTCTAGGGTATGGTGAACAGTGCCTTATATAATCCCAAAAAAACTAAACCTACTTCCAAATCTACCGTGTTTTTTCAGTTAGAATTTTTCCTCTCTTTTTTTTTTTAATATTTTCTTTCAATTTATTTTTCTGAATAATAAACCAAATTAAAAAATTATTTCCTATTTAATTAATTCTAACTATTAATTACAAATTTAAATCTAAACTAATTAATTAAACTCTAATCTAATTTTTTTTAAAATAAATTTTAATTAAATTCTAACTCTATTTTTTTCTATATCTTTTAAAATTAAAAAAAGAATTCTAAATTATAATTAAGCTCTAAATTAAATCTATACGCGGCATGTGTGAGAAACACTGTCAGTACATGTTGTTGTGTAGCTTGGTTGGCAGAAGTGGAATGATTCCAGTGGGGGGAGAAGCTTGTGTTTCTCCGGAATGCTGCAGGTGTGGAGTTGTGTCTCAGTGTGTCGAGGAACACTCCTATAGTTTGGTAAAGATGGTTTGTACCCCATCATGATTTTCGGCTGTCTATTGACAAATTGAGGAACTGATCACCCTTAATCTCTTGTTAATAGCAGAAGAGATTGTGTTGGATAGGATAGATGTGTCTTGCAAGCTTAGGTGGCGTGAGCGGGGAATTGCCTTGAGTTAAGCTAAAGTGCTTAAGAGTTTGCTTTGAGGAGCCGTAGGACGTGTTGAGGTGTTTAAATTTTGATGGGAATTTTGAGTTATAATGAAAGTGGGAAGTTGGCAATTTGCAGATTATTTTTCGGTTGTCTGGGAGTTATACTGACAAGGGAGTGATATACAGCCAGGAGGTGAAGTGGAGTTGATCGACTCAGTTGCGGGAGCTAGTCCGAGAGTGGAAGCTCCATATTATGTGTTTGTTTGGACAGTCAAGGAAATACACTGATTATGTGGTGTCGAGGCCTGTGCCCAGTATGTGTGCTAAGGCAACAAAGTGTGAAGCCAATAATATTCCGAGTGGATAGCGACTTCTGAATGATTAAAGAAAGTAAGATGTGGAATGCAAGAATGGTGTAATTAGGCCTTTAAATATTCCAAGAGTTGTAGATGTGTTGAATGACCTCTTAGATATGAAATTGTTGTTGTACGTTGATTTACAAGATCGCAGCTTTTTATGGAATTGAAATCGGACACCTGAAAGTCAGGTAACGGTCGAAAATGGAATTTCGGACGGTCATGTTCGCCAGGTCCTTCGCCTAGCGAAAGGGGTCCTGGGCAGAAAATGTCGTCCTGGTATTTTTGTCGTAACAGGAGAACCGTTTATCGGAATGACGCACGGTTCGAAGCGTTGGAAAGATATTACAATGCTCTATGTGATGGTGAAGTAATGCCATGCAGTTGAGTTTTATTGATAAGACATGGTTGGATGTGGTAGTGAGTGCGGAAGGTACGGTTCGTGTTTTTCGCCAAAACTCATGACTTGTTTATTCGTTTGGCATGGGATTTTCCTTACTTATTTGAGTGAAGCAATGAATGTGTTAACCGGTGATGTTTTAGTACATTCGAAGAGTATAGAGGATCATGTTAAAGATCGAGAATTTAAGTTATCATTGTTGGAGAATAAGCAACTATATGCCCTTGAGGAGAGTTCAAAGAGTTTTGGGAGAGCTGTCAGCAGCTCGTGTGATGATTATTGTCGAGCCCGACGAGACTACTTGTTGTGTTTTGTGATGCTTTGTTGATATGATTGGGAGAAATGGTAAAGGTATCTTGGAGTATATGAGAGGAGTCATCCGACCAGTGATTTGGAATCAGTTGCGGCTGTGATTGTGCCGGGGTTGGGGGCTTCAATCATTTGGGTTGAGATTTGAAATATTTGGTGATCCTAAGAGCTTATGGTGTTTGTTTGAGTTGGAAAGGTTGAATATGAGGAAGAGGAAATAATTGGGACCTCTGAAGAATTACAGCTTTGAGTTGAATTACCATTCGGGTAAAGTGAACGTGGTAGCTAATGCGGTAAATTGGAAATATTTGCATATACCAATATTGATGGTGAAAGGAGATAGAGCTGATTGAGCAATTTTGTAGAATGAGTTTGGTGGGTGAAAAGACTTCTTATGGAGTCAAGCTTTTATTGTTAGAACGGACTAGTTGTATCCTTGAAGAGAATCGAGAAAGTCAGAAATCTGGACTGAGTAGGTGGATTAGTTGAATTTGATGAACTAGAGTCGAAGAGTTGATTTTCGGATTGGTGGAGATAGAACCACGATGTGTTATGGTAGAGTTTGTGTTTCAGATGTTTAGTGGAGTAGGAGTACTCTCGAAGAAATACATTGAGGTAGATGGAGTACCCATCCCAGTGCTATGAAGAAGTAACCGAATTTGAGTAAATTGTTTTGGTGACCATAGGTGAAGAGAGGTGTGGTGGAGGTTAAATATACTGGATGGGATTGTCGAGAGTCAAAGATTGAATGTCAGAGACCGTTGAGTTTGACGCGGCTGTTGAATATTCCGGAGATGAAATTGGGTGGTATTTTCGTGAATTTGGGTGTTGAGATTTACAAAGAATTGGAAAGACATAATTTTAATTTGGATTATAGTGAGTGGATTGACTATTATATGTTGAGGATTTACGAGATGCATATCGAGGAAGTGGTGAAGTTATATGAGGTACTGTCGAATATCGTGTCGGATGGAAATTGGAGGTTTATATTAAGAATTTTGGAGAGAGCTTGTGTGTTGGATCAAGGTGGATCGTGGGATGGTTAATTATCGCCGGTTGAGTCGCCTACAGTATCCGTTACCATTATAGTATCAGAATGGCGCTGTATGGGGCCTTGCGAGATAGGAAGTGTAGGACTCACTTGAGTTGAAATGAATCGAGCAGAAGTGTTATGCTCATATCTAAGAATTGTGCATGAGACGGCTGAGGAAATCAAGAGGATCCAAGAAAAGATGTGTTTTGAGAGTTATGATGGTAGCTGGTGTTGGCTGAGCTTTGGAGTCTCAGAAGCACGCTCTGTGTTTGGTTTGTCAGTATCAGAGTAGTGCAGCAGAGCGTGGGAAAAACAGCAGGTTAGACTGTGTTGCCGCTGTCGCTTATGAGTTGACATGATGTATTTCATGTGTTTTCATTGAGGGAGTATCTTGAATCAGATGAATGATGCGCAAGTGAGAAATAATTTGACGGATGAGGCATTGCTAATTCGGATTGATGAACGAGAAGCAACTCTGGGAATTGGAAAGCAGGGTGCGGGAAGCGTATCTAAAGCTGTTTCCATCAGGTATTTCCGGGGACGAAAATAATTAAAGTGGGGGAGAGTTGTAACACCCATTTTTAATTATTTGGTTTTTCCGTATTATTTGTTTTTCGGTGCTTTATGTGTGGAAATTATCTGAGGAATAAAGTTCCATAATACTAGAAAATATGACTAATGATAATAATAATATGATGATTAATAGTGTTGATACTATTATTATTAATATTATTGTTATTATCGTTATATTTAAATATTATTGGAAGTGGTTTGGAATTAAAGGAAAAATATTATTATTGAGTTTATAAAGAGATAAAAATGGGATTTTGGAATTAAGAGGATTATTGTTATTATTATGAGAATTATATATTATTTAGAATAAAAGAGAATAAGATGTGGCATAGTTGGAACTAAGGGTACTATTGGCAATTGAGGCTAAGGAAGAAAGAACACGGTTGAAGGAAAAACGCACGCACGGTTGTGAAGGAGCAAGAGTAAGAAAGGATTGAAGCTTGAGCAAGAGGATCAACAAGACTGTGGATTGTGAAGTTTCTTCATCATCAAATCAAATTCGAGGTAAGGGGGGGGGGGATTTAACGGTTAAATTGTATTTTACATGAATGTTGGTAGAAGGGGAATCCCTAACCCCATGTATTAACAATTTGCATGTTGATGATGAATTGATGCTATTGCATGTTGTTTTTCCTGAGATTATTGTGTTAGATTATGTTTAAATCGTTGCATGTGCTGAGGATGTTAGATTGGATGAGTTTTGGGATTTTCGGTTAAGTTTAAAGTTGAGCCAGAAGTTGGTTTTGAGAGCTGAGTTGATGATCAGTCGGATAGAATTGGGAATAGACCCGTAGCTCATTTGTAGTATGTTGTTAGTGGTAAGTTTTCGATTTAATCGGGAAAAATCAGTGTGGAAGGTGACTCTGCGGCGCATAAATTTTTCTGAGTACGCAGGTATTCGCTGGGTGAGTGAGGGGCGAGCCTTCGCCAGGCGAACTAGCCAGCGAGTGATGGCAGAAGCTTCTGTCTGGCTTCGCCAGAGGTTTTTCTAGGCGAATGGCAGCAAGCCTTCGCCAGGCGAACGCATCAGCGAGCCCGACAACAGCTTGTGTTTTTGCTGCTGTTTTGGGTTGTTTCCTTGTGGTTTTGGACCCTTGTTGGTCATGTATGATGAGGAGCTTGCTGGAGAGCTGAGGTGAGTGTATGTGTGGCATCAGGACGTGACGACTGTGGTACTCGTGAGATCATGATATATGGATTGGGGTATGTTATAATACATGTATGTATTTTATGATGTGAGTGGATCCGTGGGATCAGTACACCTTGTACGTCGTGTATA